TCTGTTGAACCAAAGCTGTTTGTAGCGTGACACACATACTGCCCATAATCTTGTGCATTCCGTGGCGTGACAATGATACTGTTATTCATTAACTTGATGCCATCACCAGTTGGAACCTGGCCATCTTTCGTCCAAGAGTAGTTAAACGGAATATAGCTTGTTGCTTGACATGAGAGCAAACACGGAGTTTGCTTTGCACACATCACTGAAGAAGGGGAAATTTCTTCGATAATTATGGGTGGTACTGTGTGAAAAAAAAGGAAAACGTAATGATAACAAAACAAGTTTAGACAAAACCATGCTCAAGACAACGGAACAGGGGTGTGACAAACATGTGGCAACACTATCATGACCTATTTTTGGTCTAGGCGCTGAGTGGTGGTTTTTTAGTTGTTATCAGTGTTGTCTTAGTTTTTTCACCCCTCTATCACAAATTTCTAACATTTGTTTAGTACTCAGTACACACACGAATTCGTCAATAACTTGTTAATAAGTGGTTGGGTAAGGTTGAGACTAGTTGCAATGGTGATTATCGTGGTGCTTAAAAGAACCATGATCGGTTATTTATTTAGGCAAAGGTTGGCAAATTTCTGTAACTTAAAATAATAAAAAAATACACTTACTCCTCCACAGATTTATTTCACAAAAGGAAATGAAAATGTTATTGCTTCCCAATATTCAATGCAACAGTAGTAAACTTTCTACTTACCAGCGACAATGACTGTCGTAGCTGTACGGCTCTCTCCAAACATATTCATTGCATTACACTCATAAACGCCACTGTCACCAGGAACAACATCTCTTATAATAAGTATTTTCCCGTTGTTCTCGAACTGAGCGCGAGGTATACTGCCAAGTCCATCTTTGGTCCATGTAACAGAAGCCTTAGCGTCTCCACTAACCTCACAAGTTAACACTGCCAGTTCGCCAATTTGTGTAATGATTGTCTTTGGGAGACCTTTGATAATAGGTTTACCTGAGTTTTTATAAACATGGAGTAGTTTTTCCTTAACAAAGAGCAAGGCACAAATACAGCATTAAGGCTTTGCAGCTTATCCCCTACCGACCAAAATATAATTTAAAAGCCCCTCGGTTGATTGGAAACTTACAAACTAAGAAAGACAATTAACACAGCATGAAAGTTTTATATCAATAAAAAACCCACAGATCAGACTAAATTGAGTTAACTTTGGTTGCTGAATGCTAGATGTCTCTTACAAAGGAAAAGTATACAAAACAAACAAACAAAACCAAAACAAAAAACAACAATACCTTTAGTGTCGATGTTTACAAAGTTACTAGAGACATAAACCGTCTGCAAAATATAACCACAAAAAACCACTTATTCATCTGCAACCTTTTGCTGCATTTGGGTATGACATAGTGAATCAGACCTCTTGAGCATCACAAGCCTGTTAAAAGCTGCTGTTATTGCACTGCATTCACTAAAACAAAAGAGCTGGTAAATAACGGCAAGATAATAGTTTTGGAG